ATCACTTAAGGCAAACGAGGATCGGTCTCAAGAAAAATACATGGGAGACTCTTTTCGATATTACCATGATTCAGTGGTTTTGATGAATAAAGGCTTAGTGATGGAGCTGGTACGTATCCTAAAAATCTACACAGCTCTCGACTTTTCTGAAAACAAATTTGAAGGAGAGATTCCAAGATCCATCGGTCTATTGAAAGAGCTTCATGTTCTTAACTTCTCAAGCAATACTTTCACCGGCCACATCCCATCATCTATGGGGAATCTAAGAGAGCTCGAGTCACTGGACGTTTCTCAAAACAAGCTTTCAGGAGAAATTCCACAAGAACTAGGGAACCTCTCTTTCCTTGCCTACATGAACTTCTCTCACAACCAGCTTGGAGGTCTAGTACCAGGGGGAACTCAGTTTCGTAGGCAAAACTGCTCTTCTTTCAAGGACAACCCTGGACTTTATGGCTCTTCACTTGAAGAAATTTGTGTAGATATGCATGCACCAGCACCACAACAACATGAACCGCCAGAGTCAGAGGAAGAAGACAGAGAGATGTTCAGTTGGATAGCAGCTGCAATAGGATTCGGACCTGGTATTGCCTTTGGATTGACGATTGGATACATATTGGTTTGCTACAAACCAGATTGGTTCATGCATACCTTCGGCCGAAACAAACAAATAAGTAAAAGCACCTGAACTCGTTAGAGAGGTAGTGTTCTGACTTTTAAACAAATTTGTTTGCAAAACATTGAAAGACAAAAATATTAGAATAAACTTTTGGCAATGAAACTTAAGCATTTAATTATTTCTGTTGTTGACAAAAAAATAAGTTTTTGTTTGTGTAGGCATTTAGAACCTACCTGAAGAATCTCGAAGAAGAAAATCAAAGCAACCAGAAGAACTCCAAGAAAGTCAACTTACAACCTCTGCACATGAAAAAAGTTTGAGGAGAAAGCAATCAAACAATGTCCAACTATGGATTGGTTTAGATTTCTGTTATTGTATATTGTGTGTTCCTTATTTACTCTGTTTTTAGTCAACTTTTTGTTGTTTACAATTAGTTGAACAACTCTGTTCAGTCAACTTTTATGCTTTTATGTTATTGAGCAAGTACCTCAAATACATTGACACGAATTGGCAGAAGTATTGGAACTCAAAGATTTGTTTCTTTTCCTCTGCACCGTCATGTAATCATCACCTGTATACAAAACCAGAAAGATGACCAAATTATTCTCTCATATAATTATTCTATTGATTATTGCTCCAACAAATTACAAAAACAAACAAATATTGCAGAAGATAGTCTCTTTTTTTTTACCTAAATAAACTGATGACTTACTTAGCTCGTCAAAAGAAATTTTGCTGATGCTTTCCCCATATTTGGTCAGCTGAATCTTCCCTAGAAACGCATGATGAGCGTAATTCAACAACAAACAGATGATCTCAGATCAGCGATATAAGAGAATGAGAGTAAAAGAAAAAAAAAAGGGACATGTCATATGGTTATGCATACCATCAC